TCTCTCCCCTGCACTTTTCCCACCACGCCCCGTCCTGCGTTTTCGTGCATAAAGCAACGCGTTTCCAATTTCCGGCTATACGCCCCGGGAACGCAGCCAAAAACAAAGAGTTGTTGCTACTTGCAACGGCAGGCAGCGTCCAAGAAACAGAACGAGTGCCAGAACGTATGGTGGCTGGCCCCATTGTCATGCCGCTAGAGATGGTGGCGTGTGTCTGCGCCATTTGTGGCCCAAAAAACATGTGGCCATGGAGTAGAGGCTCTAAGGATAAAGAAGTATTTGGATATGGATCTTAAATCAGAATAATGCATTTTTATGTTTTATTTTCAAATTCTAACAAATCTTTATATTACGATCTACAAATATATCTATATATGTATCTATCTATCGATCTTTCGATCTATCTATCTATCTATCTGTCTATCTATCTATTGATATATCTATCGATCGATCTACCTGTCTATCTTTCGATCTATCTATCTCTCAGATTTCCCAGTATTTTAGTTTCCTTGCAGTAAAAGGATGCCTTTAAGCCATCGTTTCGTTTGCTTTTTTGGGCCATCGCCATCGCTATGGCGTCCTGTTCTGGCCGCTTAGCTACTTTGTTGGACAATGGCCGACACACACACACCAACACACCCACACTACACACACATAACTCGCAATGCACACAAATACAGCCGGCAGTGGGCAGAGTCGCATCAGGAGAAAGCCCCGTTATTAATGAGAGCTCAGAAATCATCAGGAATCAGGATGCGTAGGCCTCCCTTCACCCCCCCCCCCCCCACCATCACCAACGCACCTCTTTTTGGGGCTGTGATGTGCGTTTTTGGGGTGGCTGATGCCACGTATGTAGATGCGTAGTGGGACTCTAATGAGCAGCCGCTTAAACAGAAAGGAACCACAATTCTGCGGGTTGATCCGCAGACTCCTTCACGAGCTCCAGCTCCAACTGCTGCTCCCCCGAATACTCCTGAAAGCTAGAATGATGGGAGGGAGATGGAGGCAGGGAGAATGCTTGCAAAGTTGTCAAGTAATTAATTTGTTCAATGGCATGTTCGAGGTGTAAGCGAAACCATTTAAGGACTGACGAGTAGCAGCGTCGTTGCCGCTGCTGCTGCTGCTGCTTGAAAATTCAAAAGTGTAACTACAAAGTGGCAAAGTCCTTCAAGCGAACCCCACCCCACCCCCTACCACAAGTTTCCTTTCAGAAAGGAGTCGTCGCAGCAGGCGTTGGCAGTGCGTGGCAAGAGGACGATTCGAAGAGAAACTTGTCATGTTCTACGCCTCCTCCTATTCTGCTTCTGCACCTACTCGTGGCAGAGTTTGTATCCGGCCAGAGACACGCAGCAGCGCAGAGTGGGGTTCTCCAGGAGTTCGCTTGAGTGGTTACCATGCAGCAGTGGGTACTGTACAGTCATCCCTCTCTTACAACATTCCGCACTCCAACATTCACTGCCCTGCCCTGCCCTGCCCTGCTCGTGTGCGTGTGAAATCGGAAGTGAATGCCGACTGGTGTCTGCCTCCTCATCCATCTTGCCACGAGCATCTTCCAGTCGCCATTCTTGCCTGTCTCTGAGGCTGTGCCCGGGGCTGGGGCTGGGGCTGGGGCGACAGGTGCTTCCGCATTTGAATGTCAACGGAAACCGCAACGGTACAACTTAGATAAACGTTTGCTCTTTAAATATGTGCGCTGTCGGTGCCACCAAAGAAGGAAGCATCTCAGGACTGTCTCCGGGCTTATGTGTGCGTTGCAAGGATATCGCTACATGCGAAATGGTTGCGGTTCCAATATACGAGCAGGACCAGCAGCAGGGGCAGAGTCCTCTCTCCGTGGCACTCTGTGTGTGTGTGTGTGTGTGTGTGTGTAAGCCATGACAGGAGTACCTTTGCTTGGATAGATCTTGGCTTGACTTGGCTTATTGCTTACTCTCCTCCTTACATCCCCAATCCACATCCCAGAGGTGTGTGTGTGTGTGAGTGTGTGGCAGGCTGTCTAGGGTGTTTGCACTTTCAGCACCAAAGTAAAATTGATTATAGCGAAATGGAGATGTATAAGCAAAGACTCTGTCTGAAGGATATCCCCATCCACATCCTCAACACCACACCCCAGACACATCCCCTCATCTACAGGGTAGCAGGCTGTGCGTAATCATAATGAGTGAAAAAATTATGTTGTTAATGAAATTCCAAAAGAGATTATAATTATATATTTAATACAAAATTAAAATCCCATTTACGTCGAATATTTTGTAAAATTGAATTTCAATCGAGTCCTTTGGCTCCTTAATACCTTTAATCGTCTTTCCATGTAATGCATCACAATTTCAATGTATAGAATGTATCTACAATTTTAGTACATTTATTTCGACTCTAAATTTTAGAGGCATTTTCAAGCATAATTGAAAGGATTTATGCAAGTTTAAATGGCTTGAAGTTCAACTTACTCAAGGTCTGGCATTTCTCAATTTGTGCTTCAGAGTCATTTTCTCTAGTGATTTATCGACAAAAGCATAGGAGAAGCCGCAGCTAAATCGATTTAAAAGGAGAAAACTGTTGAATTTTTTAGCTTTTTTATTGCATTATTTACCTGCATTTAACAGGTAATAAAAATACCCACAAAATCCATGGCCAAACGAATTACACAGAAAATCAAATTATTCGACAAAAAAATACAGTATTTTGTATGTGCATATTCAAGCCATTGATTCAATTATGCTGAATGGTCAAAAATGAGGGAGAGGAGAGATTGGGGACATCAGCGGCATGCAGCATTCCTTTTATTGTCGCGCTGAATAGCGTGTGGCATGCATCATTGGAGAACAAGCTCCGAGGGTGTAAAAAAAATGCGATTAAATTGAAAATCAATTTCCATTTAATTTAGGCAAATTCCAAACAAATTAAACCAGGCCCAAAAAATCTAACAGGAGGGGTCGGCCATGCATGCCACTGGGCTGATGCCCAGACCCCACTGCCATTCCTGCCCCCTTAAACTGCCAAATAAATAAAATCAATTAACAATAATCGCAAGCAATTAAATTTGGCTCTGAGGCAGGCAGATACGAGTAGAACGTGGAGTGTGTGTGTGGCCAAAATCACATGATAAAGAAAAATAAATGTAAAAGTTTCAGGTGCCGAAAGTTGGAATACCCTTAAGGATCCATTGATCCCATGAGATAATGGCATTGTCTTTGATTTGGGATCAATTTCTGCAGATAGCTACATCTACATGTAGATATTTAAGGGCACATGTAGAAATATTCATTTACAGTTTGCATCATTATGAATCGATTTCGGTCCATCGAAAGAAACAAGGTTTTTCTGCAAAGGCTCTATGCTGGAGGAATTCTTGACCCCTGGTTTAAGCTAAGTCTCTGTCGGATATCGTTTGTATTGAGGGACTTGTTTGCATAGAAACATTACCTTTTTCGTAAAGTATTTTCCTTCCAAAGGGTATATGGAAAAAGGGGAGGGCCCCTTAATTAAGCGAAAAGGGAAAGCGAGATAAAGTTCAGTCCCGAATATGTATACTGACCATACGTTTTTAAGTGCGAAACAATGTAATTTCATGGTAATCAGTAGACCGTACCCGTACCCCGTTCTGCCCCGTACTCGTCCGATGGTACGGATACATCCGACATATCCCGAATGAATTTCCGGCTGTGTGCACATGCCACATAGCCATAGAGATTCTCTGGACGGACACTTGGGGCCACTAGAGAAATGTCAGTTTGCAATTTTCTATGCCATTTAAAATAAATGAAAATGGGGAAAAGCTCTTCTTTTGAGCCTTGCTCTGGGCGGGCGGCGGTGGATAGTAGTTTTAGGTGCTCTTGGGCCAGTGCGCGCGTGTTAACGTAAATAAATTACACACACACACACACACACAAGAGAGAGAGAGAGAGATAGGACACTACGCAATCAAGTGGTCAGCGGCATGCAGCTTATAAATCAGAGGCAGAGAAACAGTGCCTCCAAAACATTTCGGGAATGGAATGGGCCTTGGCCACTGGATAGATGGACCCGCATAGCAATAGATGGATGGATGGATGAGTGAGTGAATGACCGAATGACTGAATGAATAGATTGAGCGTGGAATCCCGGATAGATGGATGGCTCGTATAAATGTCCAGCTATTTAGTTTCGGTTTGCTGTGGTTTGACTTTGCTTGTTTTTCCCCCGTCCCCGATATTGTGCTTTGGCCCGCTTTTAATGTTGTTTCGGGGACAATTGTCGGGGCCCCACGGAGAGGTTTTTGGCCTGACAAATGGCAGAGCAATTACGAATTAACTAGCATCTGGTTAGTGGCCAGTGAGAGAGGGGAGAGGGAGAATGTAGGAGGGGTCTAAGCCTCTTTAACTGATATCACCGATGGGTCAGTGGAGAAATTGGAAAGCGGACAGCAATACTCTGACGGGATTAATATGTTCTATATATCTACATATGCATGTATACTCGTAGTCTAGATCATATAATTATGGTGTATTCTAGTATGTTAACGTCTTATTGAATTGAAGATCATTTAACAGTTATTTAAGTGTCATTTTCCTCAAGCCTTTGTCTGCCTCATGCGACGCATGCCACAGGGATGCCGACAGCATATTTGCAGCTGAAAATACTGTGGTCGGTGGCCCCGGACTGCCAGCAGAATAGAACCAAACATAGCCGCATATATTCTTGTGGAGAGGACTCCATATTATCGCACAAAGGACTCCACTTGCAAAGGCCAACCGCAGTCGAGTGGAGATGTGTGTGGGGAGACGAGTCTGGGGGGGCCTAAGAAATATTGCTGTGCAAATATTTGTATCGCATACTTTGGGGCACACACGAAAGTATCTCTCGTAAGTGTATCTCTCTTTGTGTGTTTTGGGGCAGAATGGGACGATGAAGGGGGATGCACATGCATCGGGCGGGTAATACACAGCTTTTTCTCGATGGAAAACCCAAACGAGAACGAGATAAGCTCGAGATGGCTCTCCCTACAAAAGCCGCGTCTCAGCGCTCGCCGGAATCCAGTTATCAGCATCATGTCGCCGGAAATGGAAAGGCTGCTCCTACTGCTCCTAATTGGTGTCTTCTGTCTGAGTGGCAGTGGGGCGTACAATGTGCCCAAGGCCACCGTCAAGGTCAATTCGCCCAATGGCTTCGAGGTATCCATACCGGACGAGCCGGGCGTCTCCCTCTTCGCCTTCCACGGAAAGGTCAACGAGGAAATGGACGATCTCTCGGATCAAACCTGGGCCGCCGACATCGTCAACCCCCGCAACGGACGCTGGACGTACCGCAATCGCAACCACAAGCTGCAGCCAGGAGATGTGCTCTACTACTGGACGACGGCGCGCTACCATGGCGTCGACCATCACAACTACAACCAACGGCATGTGGTCGGAGGAGGTCAAGGAGGGAACACGCAGCGTATCGATGCGCGGGGTTCAGGCGGTGGCCATCAGCCGATTGTAGTCAACGGCCAGCCGACGATCAATATATATGTGGCATAAATTATATTAAATTAAAGCGAAATTATTATTGTGTTGTTGGGGGGAACTTTGGGATTTTTTTTAGTGATAGGAGCAGATGGAAGCGCCTAGAGGTGGTATGGAGAGGTTACTAGAGATTAAATTCAGGCGAGACCTCTCTAAAAAAGGGATTTTCCAATCAGCTAAAGAATATATCAATATCCGTCGCTTATATTCGATATATATATAAAAAAAATACGTACACATGAAGAATTCTGTTGAGCGGATGTTACTGGCGCTAGTCAAACGCGCCTTGCATTGTTTTATTTTCAACCCGTTTTCATCCCAAATGGCCATAAATCAAAGCACCACTTTGTCGCAGATATGGAAGTAAGTATCCGGATCGTATAAATCATTTTTAAATCGCACTCCCCTCTGCACTGCACCCTTCACTCTCCTCGCTAGACCTGTGTCACTCGATAAAAGTGCCACAAAAACACAAACAGCGTGAGAGAAACTATTCACAAAGATGAGCATCGTATCGCATGGGTACTCGCTCCTTTAAGATGCATAACGGTTTACGTTACTCTCGGCCCATCTAACTTTCTATTGAGACCACAACACAAAGGCCAGATATGAGTTAAAGTTTTTGAAACAACACACACCTCTGGTCTGCTTGGGGGAAAGTTTTCTTTTCTTTTGGATTGTGTCAACAGAGGGGCAGCTTATGTCGACATGAAATTGGATAAATTTAAAACTCTGTGGAATCTGACAATGGACAAGTTCGTAAGCGAAAAAAAATAATTCTAAATAATGTAAGTTCAAATGACTGATAATATGTAGAGTAAAATGTAAAAATGGAAATGTAAAAGTATGGTGTACTAAAGACTCACCTTAAATTGTACTCGACATAACTCCCTTTAGCTTTTCTCTTCTTTTTACTAGCTGTCTGTTCTTTTTATAGTTTTGCGGCGCATTCAACTGTTTTTAGTTGTGACTCAATTTTTATAACTTTTACAAATTTTTTGCCGAAACCGCCTGGCACCCCTTGCCGTCATCTTGACCAACCTGAACATATATTCAATCACACTCTCACAGAAAAAAAAAACACTCATATATACTTTTATTTTCCGCTCTTTCCATAGTTCAGCGGGCCTTTTTCCGCTCTTTCTACAGTTTTGCGGGGCAATATATACTCACTTGCACTTTCACTCACTTTTTGGCCATCTAGGCCTTTATTATTTTCCGCTCTTTCTTTAGTTCAGCGGGCCTTTTTCCGCTCTTTCTATAGTTTTGCGGGGCATTTTTTTTCACTTGCACTTTCACTCACTTTTTGGCCATCTAGGCCTTTATTATTTTCCGCTCTTTCTTTAGTTCAGCGGGCCTTTTTCCGCTCTTTCTATAGTTTTGCGGGGCATTTTTTTTCACTTGCACTTTCACTCACTTTTTGGCCATCTAAGCCTTTTATTATTTCCGCTCTTTCCATAGTTCAGCGGGCCTTTTTCCGCTCTTTCTATAGTTTTGCGGGGCATTTTTTTCACTTGCACTTTCACTCTGGCCACTAAGCCTTTTATTATTTTCCGCTCTTTCTTTAGTTCAGCGGGCCTTTTTCCGCTCTTTCTACAGTTTTGCGGGGCGTTATATTTTCACTTGCACTTTCACTCACTTTTTGGCCATCTAGGCCTTTATTATTTTCCGCTCTTTCTTTAGTTCAGCGGGCCTTTTTCCGCTCTTTCTACAGTTTTGCGGGCTTATTTTCACTTGCACTTTCACTCACTTTTGGCACCATCTAGGCCTTTATTATTTTCCGCTCTTTCTTTAGTTCAGCGGGCCTTTTTCCGCACTTTCTACAGTTTTGCGGGGCATTTTTTTTTCACTTGCACTTTCACTCACTTTTTGGCCATCTAGGCCTTTACTATTTTCCGCTCTTTCTTTAGTTCAGCGGGCCTTTTTCCGCTCTTTCTATAGTTTTGCGGGGCATTATATTTTCACTTGCACTTTCACTCACTTTTTGGCCATCTAGGCCTTTATTATTTTCCGCTCTTTCTTTAGTTCAGCGGGCCTTTTTCCGCTCTTTCTATAGTTTTGCGGGGCATTTTTTTTTCACTTGCACTTTCACTCACTTTTTGGCCATCTAGGCCTTTTATTATTTTCCGCTCTTTCTTTAGTTCAGCGGGCCTTTTTCCGCTCTTTCTATAGTTTTGCGGGGCATTTTTTTCACTTGCACTTTCACTCACTTTTTGGCCATCTAAGCCTTTTATTATTTTCCGCTCTTTCTTTAGTTCAGCGGGCCTTTTTCCGCTCTTTCTATAGTTTTGCGGGGCATTATATTTTCACTTGCACTTTCACTCACTTTTTGGCCATCTAGGCCTTTATTATTTTCCGCTCTTTCTTTAGTTCAGCGGGCCTTTTTCCGCTCTTTCTATAGTTTTGCGGGGCATTTTTTTTCACTTGCACTTTCACTCACTTTTTGGCCATCTAGGCCTTTATTATTTTCCGCTCTTTCTTTAGTTCAGCGGGCCTTTTTCCGCTCTTTCTATAGTTTTGCGGGGCATTTTTTTTCACTTGCACTTTCACTCACTTTTTGGCCATCTAGGCCTTTTATTATTTCCGCTCTTTCCATAGTTCAGCGGGCCTTTTTCCGCTCTTTCTATAGTTTTGCGGGGCATTTTATTTTCACTTTAACACTTTCACTCACTTTTTGCCGAAACCGCCTGGCACCCCTTGCCAACATAATGACCAAGCTCCACTTACACTCAATCTCACTCTCACAGAAAAAAAAAGCACTCATTTGATGCCGGTACTTTTTCTTTACGGCAATATGCGCTTAACATTTCCGTTATTCACTCACTGCTTGCCGCCTTGTACTGCTTGCCGTCATAATGACCATTTGGCACATCACTCTCACCTAGCTGAGCGCAAAAAAAAAACACTCAACACCAAAAATAAACTCAGGCGGAGGGCACATCTTGATGCCGTTATTTTACTTCTTTCCTTCTTTACACTCATATTCCAATATCTGGAAACGTGCGCTGGAAGCAGCGCTATACCTACGACGCAATTTTCGTTTTTCGGCCGTTTTTTCATATAGAAAAACATTGATTTTACACTTGATATGATCTTGTTGTTACTTTTGCCTAATTCTTTGGCGCTTTTCCTACATGGAGTTGCACCTTTTCGGCTTTTTCCAGAAATTTATAACACTTTTCACCACTTTTTAGGCAGATTTTTCTCCAAAAAACTTGCTACAATCAACACACAGATTTTTTCCACAATTTTCCGAACTTTTTTGGACCTTTTTATGCATTTTTGTCTCCGCGATATGAATAAACATGCGTCTGCGCCGGTAGTTTAAATTCGACTTAGCTCTCTCTTCCCACTCAAAGACATTTGAAGGTGAAGGAAACTGCAATGGGTGAGAGCGTCTGAGAGAGGCTTTGCTTTTGCAATGTGTGTGAGTGTGTGTGTTGGGTTCTAGAAGGAAAGTGCGTAAATGAGATCATCAACATAGAAGAGGTAATTGATCTGAAGCTTTTTTTTTTAAGTTTGATCCTCTCTTCCTACAGAATGTGGTGTCAGTGCAAATGCAATGACCTGAAGCGGGGTTGAAAAGTTAAGAGCGTGAGTGACTTTATTTTTTTTTAGCAATGTGTGTTTGTTGTCCTGTAGAGGGCGAGCATTGAGAACCTATTTTAATTTAAAGAGTTCTGTTCTTATCTTAGATCCCCTCTTTTATTTTCCCATCCTCTCTTACAGAGTGCACTGACCAGTAGCGGGGGACGAAAAATATCAAATAAACTCAACAAAAAAACTCAAGGGCACAACACACCCCAATGATGGTTTCGTTATTTTACTTTGCCTTCTTTTTCACTCGAATTCCCATAACTGGAAACGTGTGGGAAGCAGCGCTAAAACGCAATTGCCATTTTTCGGGTCTATTTTCACATTGAAATAAATTGTTTTCACACTTGCTATGACACGACACGACACGAACAAACATGCTTCTGCGCAAGGAGCTTAAATTTGACTTAGCTCTCTCTTTCCACTAGCAGTCATTTGAAGGTGAAGAGAGCAACTGCTGTTGCTTTCGTCTATGAATCATTGTTATGTTACATATGTCCTTTGAAGGAGAGAACCGAAACATAACTTCGCTGAGAGAGAATTAGAGAGCGGCTTTGATTGCTTTTGAAATGTGTTGTTGTTGTTGTATTCTGTCTATGCTCAGAAAGATGGAAGGGAGATGAGAGTTCATTTGAAGAGTTATACTCCTCTTTGCACTGCAGCTTGCGTGAGTGCAATGACCTAAAGCGGGGGCGAACAGTTTAGAGCGCATTCTTGCTGAGATGATTTAAGAGCGGCTTTGCTTTTTTTGCGTGTTGGTTGTGTGGTTGTTGTTGCTTTGCAATATATGTACATACATATACATATGTACATACATACCTCCGCGGTGGTTTTATTTATGTGAAATGTATCAGAAAAAAACAAAATTTTGCTCTTTTAGGGATACGGAGAATTCAGCCGGTGCTAAGGAAAATCCTCTGAACCGCTCCTGTTGGGGCCTGTTTCGTGTTACATCGCTGCCATCGCCTTGGGCTTGACCCTGTGCCGCTGACCGCTTTCAGCGCCCGAAAGTTGAGATTAAACAGAAACCCTGGAGGAATATTACTTAATGTACTGGAGAGAGCAGGGCCGTTTGTCACTAAATACAAATTTTCTGTAATTTAAGACTCATTTATGATGGCAACAAAAAATGGCTCCACTTTTGCACTTTTTCAGGGCATGTATGTACATACATATGTATGTATTACGCTACATAGGTTCATGAGTATATACATCAAATACATATATGTATGTACACATTTATATGTTTTTGTAGAATCTGTGGAAAGGAGACAGCGAACGCAAGTGACGCTGTCAGCAACATTTGCAGCAGGCTGCTGCTGCTGCTGCTCCATGCTCCTTGCCTCTCATTTTCACATTTCGCTTCGCAGCAGAATTCTAGCTTACGGCAAGTTTGTGGCAGTTGCTGTTGTGGCACTGCCACACCCACACATTGGCCACCATT